AAATAAAACCATTCTCAACTAGAATAGTATGAAATTTCTACGATTAGTCAATTTTGGCACGTGGCATGTCGTGACGTATTTACGAGTATCAATTTTAATTTCATTATGCCGTCTTGTGTTATTACTACGAGTAAAAATGCGACTGGAATTACGAAAAAAGTGGATAAGATTACATTTCATCTGCAAGCATCGACTGCAATAGTGTATTTAATTAATTATTGAATTTTTTTTATCGATTTATTTTTCTATGAAAATGATGCGGCCATTTTGTGAGTGTTGTCATTTTTGGTGAAAATTTTACCCACTTGTTTATTTGTTGTGGGTTATATTTTAGTCCATTATGGAGCCTATGTCATATTAATTCCCCTGACAAAAAAATAAATACAAATAAAAACAAAGGGCACGGTTAGATTAATTTTGGAAACCATCTAGCCAGAGCATAGTTTGCTCAATTCACTTTGAAGAGATATATTTATGACAAAGGTGGTTTGAAAACAGCATATCCTACTAAGATTGTTTGTTTGTTTGTTTGTACTCAGGAACTAAGTAAAGTAAGTAGACTTCTAATCTTTAGTTCCTAGTCTAAAGACAATACATATAAAAAACTAAACCAGCAAAAGGGAACGCAATAAAACCTTTGTACTAATTGAAGCTTTATTTTATTTGTTGTGTATAGTAGGTGTAACTAAAATTAACAAATCCAGAAATCGTCAACTTTTATGCTACCTCTATGAAATGTGTGAACAACTAGTCTGTTGCATTTATCGTAAGTTTACCTATTTTGTTGGGTTTACTCGTATCTTACCCTCCTGTTGTAAAATTACCCCAAACTAAGGGAATTGTTCCACTGTCGGCAACACTACGCGGGTGGGAAGTGCGGCTGGCGGGGGGATTGACGTATTGTTTTTGGACACATTTGACGACATGTAATTATGAGTGAACGCGGCTTCTGGTTTGTTCTGTATTCTGAGGTTGTACGTCAACACAATAGGCAGTTCAAATCATACTACCTAATGCTATAACGAAAGTTTTTAAGTAAGGATGATTTGATGTATGTTTGTTATTTATTGGACAAATCTAGATGACATTTAACATAAACATAGATTATTACAAAAGAATAACATTCCCGCCCAGGGGGCTGACCATGACGTTCAAAGTAAGATTGTTTTAATCTTACTTCAGTGTGGGTAAGAGAAAGAGCTATACAAGTTTTCTAGCTCTCTTTTACCCCAGGTGAAGAAAGGCGACAGGTGAGAAGTGTCAGGCAGGTGTCATAGAGATCGTATAGCAATAAAAAATAATTATGATGTTTTTTTTTTTAATCCTAGATAGAAAATCTTAACGTAGAACTGGCCAATAGATCGCTAGGCATAGTCACCTCGCCTGTTTGAAGGATTTTGATTAAATTACTTCTCTCGGATATGGTACGGCGAGAGAGAATGTCAGACTCTTATTGACAAAACCCCGCGAGGAGGATACTATCTTCTACCTCACGCGCTCCGCACAAAAAATGGAACTGTGATATCATTTATCAAGGTCGTTTATTAAAACTAGATTACTGCAACAGACACATAAATTAAGATTTAAATTAATTAAGACAAATAAACGTAAAGCTCTTCCCTGCGATCGCATTAAAACAGCACACACACAAGATGATCTTACATTCCTTTTTCTGTATAATTATGTAAATACAGTTTGCAAGCACAAAGTTACCAACACGGAGCCCATTAACATCTCAAATTAAAAACACAATAGTGTCATCTATATGTTCTACCTTTGAAACGTTCTGAGCATTTGAATAAATAGAGGGTATGTTAATGAGTATGAATTATATGAAGAGCGCGTTATCTATTTCTTAACTCTGAAATTAAAGTTTGTGAGAATTTAAAGAAGTATGTTTGTTGTTGTTATACGTTCAAGAAAAATTTTTGGACCGATTTGGTAACTAGATTGGTACCTTGGATTAATACATGGACTGCTTTTTATCAATATACTACGCAAGCGTAGTCGTGGGCGGAAGCTAGTACTTAATAATTGCTGACTTGATAGTCAGAAATATATTTATACAGCAATATTTTATTGCCAACCAATCCAATCAAAATATCTATGCTGATTCCAGTCATTATATTTTAAATTCCATTTGGAATGACACATAATTTCAGTCATGAAATAATAATACCCTGAACATGACTCGAAACTTTGAATAAATTAAGATCTTTACAGTAATCCCATCAGATTGTTATAAAAATTCAATAAATGAAAATTTTGCAATTAAAATATCCTTCCTTTTGACATAATCATTGTTTTACAAGTTTTGCCTTAGACCCAAACAAAGTCAAGACTTGTACATATGATATGCCTTCTAGTAAGTAAATATGTATCAAAATATAAACATCGTTTGTTTAATACTCAGAGCTCTGCCACTTAATAACATGCTCCTACAGTCACGTGTAGAGACGGCAGTAAAACGCCAGTAAAAGAGCATTGGATACGACTCTACGGTAGAGATCGGATCTCTGCCTAATGCAACCTCTTTGTCTCTATTTCTATTTCCTTTACGAATAACATTAAAATTGTTTAGAAGGAATTTTAAATAATACTTTTGTGGTATGTCCAGAGGCGAGCAGGTTGACCTAAAAACCATTCCAATGGATTTTCAACTAGATATCAAAAACGATAAAGTTGAAAGTTCATAAAAAAAATATACAGACAAAAATCATGATCTGATAAGTTATTTATTAATATAATATTTATTAATTACTAAGTTACTTGTTAGAACTAGCATTGTTCAGTTACCAACATAACATAGATAATAGACGCATAGTAATACAGAGATGAATTTAATTTTTATACAATATTTTACCCAGCTTTCATTAGTTATGATATTTTTTTATATAAATACTAGCACATATTACGTGCTAGATTTCTGACTCCTTTGCATTAATAAAGAATTCGCGGAAAAACAGAAAAGCAAATGCATTCTCACCAAACTTGAGTATCTATATCTAATCTGTGATCTTACACGGCGCGCTTTCACGGATACGCGATCTAAGAGGTTTCTTTACTTTCCCAATATATATACAAAAGTACTATTATGTTGTATATCTGTATCTCAGAAATATCTAATTATATTCATACAGTTTTCACTACACAGAAAAAGTCTTCACATTATATCACAACACAACACAATGACTACTTTTTGATGACTAAGGACTTTAAAAAAAATACTCCTATTTAATATACACACGTAAATTCATTTGTTTCCCAATAATCACCATCATCCCCCACGAAAATCAAGATAAGATTCAGGGCCCCGTTTGTAACAACATTGTTGTGAACAGCGACATCTATACGACAACCAACGAACCGCGGATGATGGACTAAAGAAAACATGAGTTATTTTATGGAAACTAGCCACTGATTCTGTCGGGAGGGCGTGACGGACTGCTAGATGAAACAAATGACTTTGACTTGCATGGACGTTTCCTGACTTATTAGGGTGAGATTGATTGTTTGATGAGAGTCTAGGTTTTTCAGAAATCAAAATGTTAGCCATTAAGTTGAAAATTAAGACGAGTTAAAATTATAAAGATATTAATAACATAGATAACAGTGACATTTTCGAAGGGGTCAATTGTGTAATTATTAGCGTAAAAATCTGAGCTCAGGCCCTTATCATCATACTACGTATATATGGGATAAGTTATTTTTTATATAAATACGTCACGTTTTAACAGACACGCTGTTTTGTACTATTAATAATTTTGACTAAAAATTTCATTGACTTGTGTTTAGCGGCTAATGACGGAACACCAAACTCATCTAGCAGCATAAATCGATAGCTCTATAGAAGTGATACGAAGGCCTTACAGAAAACCGGCACGAAACAACGTTTGCGTTGTTTGTAAGGTTACTGGAGGTTACTGGTTTGGGGTTAGTATTCGGGCATAGGGAGCAATATCCCTAACCCTAAAAGACCGACAACGCACTTGACAATAATTCCTCGGTTTTGTGACTTAAACACTTTAAATGATCCGCGTCGTTATTGCTAGACTACACCATAAAAAAAAAAACTAAAAAACACGTTGAGTCTTAGAAATCTTTTTTATCAAAACTCGGCTCAGGCTGAAGTTTGAAATAAAACTAATGTTATTTTTAATTCAGTCGGTCGGTCAGTCACATTGTGTGCATGTATTTATTTAAATAACATACAAAATTCGGTTTCGTATTGAATAAATCATTTATAACCGAAAAAAAATGTCTTCCTATTTTATAGGGATCCGTAAAATGGTAAAATTTTTTCCTTAAAAAATAAATACTATTTTTTTCATAAAACCTGGCGTCCTGATTATGATTGTGATTCATACAATTATTGGCATCATAATTAATAATGATGATAGAAAGTCGTTTTAACATTTAAGCAGATATTTTGTGAGCATCTCTTGAAGAAATTGGCTAAATCTTGTGCTTCTATGTGCCTATAATTTTATATATTATTGTTGTATATATTTCAATCGCTTAAATCATCACTTATTAAGTTCTTTTTTATTTAGTATAAACTTTTGCTTGCTGCTTGCACCAAGCATAGTCTTGCTCATCTCTGCATCACCCAAAGGTAAGACTGGTAGGTAATGACAATGGCATAAGTCTACCTATGTATGAAATGTTAACAATTTGGCTACTTACTAACTTGAAACTAGGTGCTCGTTTCACAGTGTCGATCCGAATGGAGAAGAACGAGCAAGAAATCGTTTTTCCCGATTATCCATCTTTACTTTAAAAAAAACACAATATCTACACATTGCACGACATAATTTTTGGTAACAAAAAACAAACACTTCTTTACACTTTTCACTTCATTCATAATTATACAGAACCAAATATTTAACATATTCGATGCTACGAATGCTTGTTCTATTTTAAATCTAATTTAAAAACAACAACTAGTATAAATAGATACTGTAAGGGAATTTATCAGTTAATCTGCCACAGGGTATCTTGCTGTTCAGTCACCAGTCCCAAAGAACCTTCAGTATCACCATGGCTCCCTCACCCCAAGAAACTATGGTGGAACAGCAGCCTAAGACTATCCCTCGGGGATTAACTGGTGAAGAGTTAGTGATTAGTGGCATGTCAGGATTGTTCCCCATGTCTGACAGTGTTTTGGAGTTTAAAGAAAATCTGTATAACAAGGTAATTGCGATTGTGATCTACCTAGTTTTCAATTGTCTAATTCTTTTTTTTTTGTGTTACTTGTTTTTTACCTTTTTATTTAATAAATATAGTTTGAAATAAGCAATTAAATACGAATGTCACTTTTTAGTAGTTTTTTAAATATTTTATATAAATAAGATTGAAAGGACGTTTGAGATCAGAATTTTTGTGGCAGTATTGTGCTGCATCGTCAAATAAAATGTTTTATTTTTATTTAGGTGGACATGGTGACCAATGAGAACATTAGATGGGACATCGACCACCCTGAAATTCCCAAACATTTCGGCATGATAACCGGAGTAGATCGTTTCGATGCTCAGTTCTTCAAGGTCCACTACAAACAAGCGCTCATTATGGACCCTATGAGCAGGAAACTCTTAGAACACGCGTACCAGGCCATTTTTGATGCAGGTTAGTATAAAAAAAACCGAGAACTCTCCCATAAATATATGGCAAATAGTTCATACGAATAACATTCTATGGTAAAAGGTAGTTATATAGATATTATTAAGTGAAATAGGCACGAAGTCTAGAAAAAAGTAAACTGTAACAAATCTCATAATGTGAAAAAGTTGTCAATTAATTTATTTCATAAATACAGTCAAATAGGGGTGAAATTTAATCATTATCTTAGATGTAAAATTTTGTAAAACGTTAAACGTGTCAATAACATGCTTAACTTAAAAATCGATATCTTTTGCTTAGCAGTCAAATTTAAATAAATTATAAATCTCAACTCTGAAGAACGTTGACCAACTTACATATCCGAATGAAATGCTAAAAATCTCCTTCATTTTGACAGGTATCAACCCATTGGAGCTTCGAGGTAGGAAAATTGGTGTTTTCATCGGAGCTGCCTTCTCTGAGTCCGAGAAAATTGTCATTTACGAGTCTATTCAGCGCAATGGATTCGGTATTACTGGGTGAGTTTCATTCCTTATTCTTGAAAGGCCCAATATAGTTAGCCATTATTTGAAACTATTGTGTTCAACTGCCCTAAGCGATGCTGTCTAAATATATGATTTATATAAAGATAGGCGTATTTATCGTTATAATTGAATCAGATATAACTTATATAGAAAGTATAACGGTATCAAATTAAAAAGACTCATCACAAAATAAATTATTATGCTAAAATAGAAGGAAAGAAGATACTTAAATTTTTATTTAGTTCCAAATATAACTTTATAGTCGTCAGTGGAAATATTCATGAAACCTATTCCAAAAGATGTTGAAAGTGCTACTGAATTTAAACCCTTATTACAAAACTGGTAAGATTTATTTAAATAAAATTAGCCTATCGTACTTCGGAAATATTATCCTTTCTTCATAGAAACCCTACACTGATTTAGAAGCGCACCAATTTATTTTCGTTTTCGATAGCAGTAAATTAAGTGAAACGAAGCATCGTCGACTGCGGAACTAGGTGTAATTCTATTACAAGTTAAATTCAATTTAGTAAATTATTTTCTGAACGAATTTTGGTCGTGTTTAGCTGCTGTTAACTGCATTAGTGTGGCGTGGATGGACTTAACCAGTTAATATGGCGGGGTGAAGCATAATTTTAATACGTTAGTGCTTTTAAGCTCGCAATTTGACCATTACTGTTTCGGGATTTTACTTTCAAAATACACTCCAAATGTTATACAAACTCTTTTTTGGACTAATACAAAAGTTAAACTGTTAAGTAGCATACATTTAAAAAAAGGTCCAATAACATTAATGCCAGCAATACTAATTGATTGTCAAAAAAAATATTCATCAGATGATCCCAGAATTATACTTTTTTGATCCAAACTTCCAAACTATAATATTATAAATGCGAAAATAACTCTGTCTGTCTTTTCTTCACACCAAAATTTGGTGCAGACATATTTTGGAACTCGAGAAAAGACATGGGACAGTCTTTATACCAAAAATCTGCAGAAAGTCACTATTCCACGCTAACGGACTCGCGGGCAAAAGCTAGTCTTTAATAAAACACTGAATAAATAATACAAAAGTGCTTGATAAAAAAAAAAATTCGCGAAGAAGTGTCTACGTAAAACACTCTCTCCAAGTGTTGCATATTTCTTAATTAACCTGTCCTGCCTTCTTGTGTCAAGGCCAAAGGCTACTTCGACCCTATAATTTATACGTAGATGTGGGTAAAAAGATTTACGAGGCCTCAGACCTATGTGTACTCTTTATCACTAGACTATTGTGGGGTATAAATATCCCTTTATCTACTTCTAAGGTTAGTTGGCTACATGTATATTTGCTAAATGGAAATAAGTATTTTGGTTTCTCAGGTACTGCTTGGCAAAAATGAAAATTGAAATTACAAAATACATTATGCAACTTATATAATAAACAACATATAACATATATATTATTATAATCATATAACATACATACGTATACAAAAAAAAATTAAAACACCAGTCTGTTTTACTACAGTATTAAAATCGGATCCCGTTTTTGTATGTGATAGGACGGCAAACGACGAACTATTACCTGATGGTAAGCAATTGGCTCCGCCTATGGCAACACTAGAGGAAATACGAGTTTTTTTTTTTTTTTTGTGAGGGGAAAATCATCAAATGACTTCTCCCGCCCAGAGCCGGGCGGGAGGGAGTGTCAGACTCTTAGTGACTAAAAACCTTCTCCTGCTCAATGCCGAGGTCGCGGTGCCTCATTGCGCTCACCCCGCAACCCCGGCTGAACATCAGCCCTTTAGGGCCCCGTCTGTGGTGGTCTATTGGCTCTTTGAGGCGCGAGAGGAAATACGAGTGCAGTGCGAGTGTCGACTCTCGAGTGTAAACAGTTTTATTCATATTATTTTTTTCGAGAAACTGGCTCGTCTCGATGTTGTTTAGGAATATCTATTTTCAAAATGGCCGAACATAAGACGTCAAATTAAGAAAAAAGTATTTATTTTGTTATTTCCCTTTCTTATTTTTACCCTATATTGTAATACAGCCCATGATTTATTATTTTACAGGCACAGATCATAATAGAATTAAAATGTAATACTAAACGCCTCGTTGGTCTGGATTTAATGTAACTTAAGCGCTAAAAGAGGGTTCGGCTTAGCTCGAAGCATATTTTGATGACCCTCTAAATCATATTCCCTATCAGTAAATTCAGTTAGGAGTAATTTTATACTGAATTATGAAGCTGGTGTTACTGCTGGCTGGCCTCCCAGTTGAGATAATTAAATCGTGATAGATTAGGCTGTGGAAGAAAGGTACTACGCAGCAACAAAGAAATATTTGTATTTTTTTCCAATATTTTCGTATCAATCGTATCGGTATTCCCGAACGATACGGCTTCCAAGCCTTCAAGAAACAAACGTAATCTTTCTAAAAAGGCCGTCAACGTGCATGTGACTCCTCTGGTGTTGCCTACAACCGGCGCTGATCAGTTACCATCAAGTAATCCGGCTGCACGTTTGCCTTCTATTCCAAAAAAAGATATCCATTACGTGTAAAGGCGAAATTAGTGACATACGGATAGCAAAGCCATTTTTTTTTGAGTAATGTAGACCATTGCGTTCTTCTTCAATACTTCGCCCATCCTAGGTGGAGCGAACGAATAGTAAAACAGATTATGCAACAAACTATCTCTAACTACCATAATCAGAGACATTTAATGATTAAGATTGTTAGGTTAAGATTTGTGTACAGCGACGGTAGTACACCATTAGTCTATATCTATTAAAAACTAGCTGCTCGCCCCTGCTTCGCACGGGTCTCATCATCTCGCTTACGATGAAAAGGTCCCTATTACCCAACTTTCCCCTCTACTTTTCTAAAATTTTCTTTCATAAGAACCTTCTACTGACAATAACACACATAACAAAAAAAGAATCAGTAGAATTGGTCCAGGCGTTATTGAGTTATGCGCTTACCAACATATTTTGCGATTCATTTTTATATATATAGATAGATATACATAAGTAATCTGATTAGGACCAAAATATTGAAATTGAACCAGACATGTCAATTACCTATCAATTACAAGGATACTTTTCAATTGCAGTTGTGTGTGTAATGTAAACATCCTTGTATTGTTCTAACGAGCAATACAAATTCAAATTACGCGATATTTCAAAGGGTATTATGGTACTCAAACCCTGGTATTAAGCAGGTATTTGAATCTGTTTACAAAACCGCACCCTTTTGCACTCCAAATTTTAATCTCGTATAAATCTCTACCTGAAAAGGTTATTTTTAAATGCTCCCTCATTTTATTAGTTCTAAATGGTTTTATGAAAATAAAACAAATGCGTTACTCAAATCATTCTATTTTTGAGTTTGAAAAAGAAACATAATTTCAAATTTAGAATTTATTTCTAAAATAAATTTGTAACTTTATTAATTTTTTTTTTATTTCTTAAACGTTCTGCTCACTCTACCAAGGCTTATGAAACTTATAAGTAGTCTTTATGGAATATGAAAATTAATTACATGCTCTTTTCTGTGTCCACCACAGAATGAGCACTCATGTTGACATCTGTTTACACTAATACTACCTTTTTGGAATACTCCAGAAAAACTCAAGACGTAATAATGGCTGTTTTCTTATTAAAACGCCTTAGTGTTATCGGCCTGCACAGTTACAAGACTGCTAGAACTTAATATTATTTTTCGTACATACTTTTGTTATTATATTAAATAGGCGTTGGCGAAAATTGCCACATTTTTTTCTTAGGCTTTCGTAACAATATAAAAATAAAAGTAAGGGAGTGTAATTGCGGAAAAATAGGGTGGGTTCCGCAATAGTTGCTATCAAAGAACGTATAAGTCAAAATCGATTTAAACAGAAAAAGTTGTATAGAGTTTATTTGATTGCCAAATTCTTTTAAAACTTTTGTAACTTTTGTAAACCAGTCCGCTGACTTTTAGGTATATGCATGGTGTTGGATCCCACAATCAAATAAATCAGAAGATATTACCAGAGAAGACCAAGACAAAAAAATGGTTTGGATTTTTTCTCGTTAGCTCATCGCCTCATCTTTCTTTCCTATAGTATGTTTTAGTTCGTACATCTTTCATGGTCACCCATTATAACGCTAGAGAATCCTAAAACGGATCTCAATTTAACCATAGTACGCAGGTGGCGTTCCCGACTTGGCTAATAAGAAAATAATTATGAATAAAGGTCGGACCACTTGGCAATTTCGGTCGTTTATTAAAATGGTAATGAGCTGTCTTGAAGTTCATAATGTGAGTTAGAATGTAGTGTTTGGAGGGCCAGTGCCGTACAAGGACTCGTTTTGGACCGATCATATGTAATCATGGTTTGATTGACTTGTAAATATCCAACGAGCAATATCGGTATGAGGCCAGAAAAGGCACGTCTCAATTGGTAGACCTCAATTGATATACAATCAAATTTGAGTAGAGTGATTAACATTATTAGAAATGCCTAATGCTATATGCATAACGAAAGCAATATGTGTAAAAATTGTTGTAGATAATAAGTAATCTGTAGTCTTTACCTTCCCTATTCCAAACAAAAGCATATGGCAATATAATATTATGTTTGTATGCTACTCGAAGACTGTCAAGATGCCACTTGATCTACATATCGAAGAAAGATGGCGATGGAATGTCAACAGTTGCTGTCGCACTTCGCACTGTTTATGTAGGAGTACATTTAAAGAATTATGGGATTTAGAAACATGGATTTTGTTAAACTCATACTTATGTAATTATAAAACGTGGAAAATTTACTTTTATATGAATAGGTAATTTCGTTCACCGTCGGGTTTCCAACCAAAGCACTATATAATTTACTTAGATCGATATTTTGTTATAGAAAACAAATCTTGAAGATTTCGAAGTGTAAACATCCTCACTCAACCATTTTCATGGCCACCCACAAGCATGTTTCAGAGTACTCCCTCTAATAATCGCTGAACCGAAAACGACCTTCGAAAACAAATCATCAGCAGTATAAGGAAAAAACAAGCGAAACTGAAGTGTCAAAGCACTGATAATATAACAAACGACACCACGTTCCCTAAAGAGCGATTGAGTCGTCCAACTGATTCTAACGCACGTCCTTCCCTTCATTATACTTAGTATCGTATCCTTAACCTTCCGAGTGGTCGTAACTTTGACGAATACCATCATTTGTACAGCCCCCTTTACCGATGTGGTGTAAAAATAGAAGCTTCATTCTGATTGGCCCCTGAATCATTCCAAGATGGCCGACAATATTTCAAATGTACCTTACCGTCTTTTTCTAAAATCTTGTATCAATAATTTTGATGCAGTGAGTTGTATCACAAAATATATTTTGTTTCAGTTTTCATTTAAAATATTAAATAATATGATCAGTTTATCAATAATAATAACTAAAGCTAAATCAGTATGTATACCTTAAAGATAGTTTAAGGACCGAAACACCCAAACAAAAAAAAAAACACATGTTGATCTTCTGTTCAATTTTCTCGTTGGTGCTTCCTAGAGAGACTTAGCGCAGTAACTTTTTATTTTTGATGTAAAACAATAAATCTCTGATATGATCCGTTCGCCTCCTATTCCAGATAGTTTCGTTTACGATACTATACCTTCGCCTTCTCTCCACTTATATTTATTTCATTTTTCTTATGACGTCTTTGAGAAATTGGGATCAAGATGAAAATGGAAAATGGAATGTTTTTTTTTGAGATTCATTAAAAGCGATATTTTTTTTGTGATCATATTTTTAAAGCATCTTTGGATTAAAAACAAAAAATGCGTTCGCGATATGAGTTTGTATACATTTGAGGAAGTTATTGTAATTGATTAGATACCGATGAAAATGAAATTCTCCTGCAAACAAAAACTATACTATAATTTTAATTTCATATGTAAAAAATATAAATTAACAATAAAGGTTATTATAATTAACATTCTTATACAAAATAGTAAAATATTCCTAAATTACAATTCAAAATAAATGCATTCAATTGATTAGCATTTAATTTACAATTCATTGAACCACACAATCGAAAACAACATGCTCAAAATAATTTTTTCTTTGTGTTCATGTCTACTAGGTACACATAAACACAGAAGGTTAAAGACATTCACTCATCCATATTTAAATAAAAAACTGAAGTTTTTTGTTAAAATTGTTTAATTACGAACGGCATAAATATGTATGGACATTGTAAAGTAAAAAAGTGTTTGAATTTTTGGACATGTACCTACTGTCAGAGGTCAGCTACCAGGTCAGGAAATGTATTTATAGGTAAAAAAATACTTCGAATAAAAAAAAAACACATTATTTTAAAATTTACTTTTAATTTTAACTTGACAAACCGATGACGTTAGTTAACGCGGCGGCGACGGCTAGACAACAGGCTGCCATGCAGTGTTGCGGTTCAATTCCCGCACGTATTTGTTCGTTGTAGTTAAAAGAACAACGAACAAATGCATGCATAAAGTTAAAAGAAAATTGTAATCGTAATAGTTTCATAAAAGATTGGTTTTTTCAGGGGAAATTAATTAAATGATTTCTCTCGGCCAGGGGGATTACAAAACATCCGCGTTCCTTCTCGTACACAATGTAACCTTATTACTTGCTTGGCTTGCATCTCAAGCCCGGCTGAGCTCGGCCTTGTAGAGCCCTGTTTGTGGTTGTGTATTGGCTCGATACTGCGCGTGCCGAACGCTACGCGCCTTATGCTCGCTCTAGACCTAGGCGGTTCTGGTCGGGCGGCGAGCTACCCTTGCTCGCCGTCTGCAGATTCACGTTTACAATGGCTGCGGATTATCGCTCGAGAGCGAGGAGGATAGCTTCATCTGGCTCCACTCGGGGCGGAAGATGTCATTCGATGATTTTCCTCCATGAAAAACAAAAATAAACTACTCAGAAAAAAAAGATAAAATGTGTATTTTCGAAAAGCAATAATAATTGAAACGAAATTTATCAAAAAATTCAATTAATATAAACAAGTCTAAACACAGAATAATTCATTTTAAAACAAAACAAAGTTCATACATAATAAAAAATAGTTTGTAACGAAACATATTTATATTCATGACGGACGCGATTGACTCTCCGACGAACAAAAGGCTATAAAACATTTACGGCGACATGCATTAACGAAAGTTCCGAATGCACTGGTAAATATTTATACGTTTCGGAAAGCGTATTTACAATTGCTCTTGTTGACTTGTTTATCAGTTATTTTAGCACCGTGTTATCGTGATGTATGTTTTACAAGAATGTTTTTAAAAGGAATGTCGTCTTTTTATTATTTCAAACATTCTTTTTATGGGACTAACAATATGCCTATGGCCTGATAGCAAGTAATCGACGGACCTATAGTCACTTTGATTGATTTGAGGATTGGAGGTCATCAAAATCCCAATCTTCTTCGTCCTATCCCCAATCCCAAATCCTCATATTTATAATAGTCCAAATTGATGGTAAAGCACTTGTAACCTCTATTGTAATTCTTAAAACCAATCAACCTAGTTATTAGCAAAATTATAGAAAAAAACTATTAGAACTTCTCTTAATACTCACTAAATGCATAGGACATGAAATCGAAAGTAGCTAGTACACATTAGAACACGTTCCAGGATGATCTTTTCAAATTCTACCAAAACATTAAAAACTAGATTTAGCAAACGCGCGTTTCAGTTAATTTGCTTCACTGAAAACTTATTTGTTGAAATTGGCAAATATTTTTTTTTAGACAAATTGACACAAGCCTTGTTGCTTTTAAACATCTCAGTAGAAGATCTAGAACTAAAACTTCAACCACTCGTATTTATCACATCGCAATGTTTTTTTTAAATTTAAAAAAAAAAAATAAAAATATTTGTACTCTCTAGTTTGAAGGGGCTCAGAGCCTTGTCTCAGTTCCTTCAAATTGTAGAGACAAATGAAAATAAATGATGAGAGAGAGAGAGATGAATGAAAACAAATGAAATAAATGAAAACAAATAAAAATGAAATAGAGACAAATGTACCATAATGTTAATGTTCAATGTTATAATAGGACCATTTTTATTGTTTCAGATGCAACAAGGCTATGTATGCCAACCGTATCTCCTACTGGCTGGACAGCAAAGGTCCCTCCTATGCTCTCGACGTGGCTTGCTCCAGCTCCATGTCCTGCCTGGAGCATGCTTACACGAGCATCAGCAGTGGTGTGTGTGAGGCTGCCATTGTCGGTGGATGCAACTTGTGCATGCATCCTAATGTGGCGTTAAATATGAGGAAGTGAGTTATAATGCGGACATTTTTTTATTCTTCTTTAGAGCTGATGAAAATTATTGTTGTCCAATGAGACATCTATTACACGAGTTTTGGCCAAGAATTTAATGAAATTCTTGACCAAAACTCATTAAATTCTTGACCAAAACTCGTGTCAAAGATTGGAAGAGCTATTAGTGAGTTCAAGTATTTCATTTGCATTTTCCCTGTATTTTTGGGTTTGTTTATAGTATTATTATTGACATAAGAAGGAATTATTTTTTGACTCCTGAGTGAAGAAGGAGAAAAATCTAAAATTACTTTCTACTTCTTTCTTTGTTTTTAACAGGTATGGATTCTTATGTTTGGATGGAAAAACTAAATGCTTTGACAAGCACGGAGACGGCAGCGTCAGATCTGACGCTATCAGCATTCTCTTCTTGCAGAAGGCTAAGGACGCAAAGAGGTAATTTTCATTTTACAAATTTACGAATAATTTAAGAGCCATCACTTCGGTTACTTTAAACATCATTAATCAATCAATACATTTAAATAAATTGTGACAATGGACTTCGAAATGTACAGCCATTATCGGAAGTGAAACTCATTACATATTAATGAATTGATTTTAAATGATTCATTACTATGACGTTTTACATTCTGTCGGGATAATGGAGGAATAAATTTAAAATTATCTTTAGATAATGAGTGTTGAAATTTCATTTTATGTGCGTAGGTCCGTTGCTGAAAATCAAACTTTAATTTTAATACCCACATTTAATATAACTTGGCTAACTGTACGGACTATTCTTCTCAGCAATTTCGTCTTATTTTAAGCATATGTTCAAGATCTAACATAAACAAGTATATAGCATTAGTAAAGCATTCGACTATAGTTGCGTATAGTTTCATTTATGAATACCATGTTCATCTAAACAGTTTATATCAAATATATATTTGAGTATGTCTCATAGTCAATTCCCATTCTATGAAGGTAGCACAGGTATACAGCTTAACCTGTTTCTTACCTATAATAGATTAACCTCAAATCGTGTTAATTTTGTAAATCAAAATAAATTCTTGCATTTCACCAGTTGGGTTATGAAATCTGAAGGAAAAATCAATCGTCGAGAAAAAAGTTTTATTTGATCTTATTTCCTCTCGCTAGCTATTGCTACAACTAAGCTCTTTCTACAATGGCACGATAATGCAGCAGCGACATACGCCATTCCTTACTCCTTGAGCAAGTGTTAACGTCTACTTTCTCAATGTCAACCTTTATTTTCTAAAGTAAATTTTATTTTCAGTTCTAAATTAACGTATAGTTTCTGTACTCGCATCCATCTAAAAGTCGGTGGGCACTTGTTATTTATTACCCCACCGTTAACTCTAGAAGTTGGAAAGTATACGGTTAAATCTCTTTTTGTGGTTAGTAATAATTCATGTTCCAGTCTAAAGGTGGTTATCTATTGCCTTTTTCTGGCTACCTAGAACTATTGGTAATATTTCTGTTAGTTTTTCTTCAAATGAAAGTATATTTTTATCTCAACGTTATTGAAGATATTCGAAAACGGATATTATCAATGTGTTTTAAAAATTCATTGAGCAATTTTCTTTGACTGCCAGTTGGTTTAGTTTAGCCTTCCTAAAATTTATAAAAATACAAAAGATTGTAACCTTTTTTTATATGCGCGGGTTCTTTATCCAACCTGGAGCTCTTTGTTTCTTGTTTTTTTTTTTAATTACAATTCAGTCGTAAAGTTTCAAAAACCAGCTTTTGAACCGTTTTGTTCCAAATATATTAAATCTTAAATAACTTATGTGCCGCATGCATACTGCAAGTCAAATTGCAAGTTCCATTAAAACGGAGTTTATTTTTTACCCCGTTTGTCGGAACTGTTGAAATTGTACCGTGACATGACAACCACGACAGTCGGCCCTGTGACTGAATTAATGTATTTGCAGTGCAGCTTTTTCCACGGGTCAGCTTTTCCAACGTATTTTGATATTTTGTCGGGAAATTGAATTGTAGGAGAAAATAGAATAGGGATAAAATGTTCCGTAGAAATATAGAAGTGTAACAAAATACAGCCATTTAGCTACTATGCAAAGTTTTTGTACCTATATCGCACTATTGAGTTTAATGCATCTGATATTCATTCGTTGTTTGATAACTTCTAAATGAAAAGGTAACAATGCAACATTATTCAAACGAGATAAAAATATGTAGTGTAGATTTTTATTCAATAAAACTATTTTTACACAGAATTTACTCAGAAGTTTACTACGCCAAATCCTGCTACTCAAACATAGTCCAAGAACAGTTCTTGCCTACTCGTAAACCAGAGGAGATCCAAGAATTTTTGGAGACGTTCTATAAAGAGGCTGGAGTGTCTCCTCGTGATGTGGAGTACATTGAAGCCAATGCTACAGGTAAGCCAAGTTTCTTTCAAGGACACACAAATATTGTATTTTGTAAAGGATAAGTCATAATCAAAACAGTTGCTGTTAAGTAAAACACGTCGATAAGTTGCTTTCTAAACACATATTCAAAACTGTATCTGTTTTATATAGCAATTGCCGAAGCAGACGCCAATGAATTGGAAGCGATTGGCAAAGTGTTTGCAAAAGACAAAACTGTGCAAGTTGGATGCGTCAAATCTAATATGGGTCACGCTGAACCTGCTTCTGGAGTGTGTTCACTAACAAAGGTACGATAATTATTGTAAAACGTATGTTAAAGTAGTCGCCTTGGTAAAGTACAGTAAAAATGGCAAAAATAACTTGAAGTTAACCCAAAGATAATCAAAAGTCATAATTTATTCAAAATTATATATTGATTAAGTAAAGGACCTAAGTTCGAACCTTGTGAAAACCTTAATATATGATATTTGTTTATTAGCAAATGTATCTCGACTTACTTAATGTGTGTTTTAAAATTTATTCAGAAAGCAACGAACTATGCGTAAATGTTTTGTTAAGACGGAAAACCTCTTTACATTATTAATGTAAAGGTCTTACTCAAAGTTCTTGTGGTAATATTTTATAAACATTTATTTGATACTTAACCTTCTTTATGGAGGCTTTTTCAGATTACAAAAAATGTATTCCTTTAAGACCCTTATTTTTTGATGTTAGTTCAGTTTATGCGTAATAAGTATATGAACGAACTAAATAACGAAAAACAGCCAATCTTAGTAAAATCATGAATAGCAGTTTTGAAAATCAAAGAACAAAAATCTATAAGTTTAACATTGTCGATACATCATTTTCTTACGCTCTGTAGATCGTGGTCAAACTTTTTGTTCGAGTTTTTGGTGTTTTTTGTTATTTTTTTTCTATTGTTAATATTTTTTAAATATTTAATATTTTTAGGTGTGTCTGGCATACCAAACTGGCCAAATACCCGCGAACTTGCACTACTACGAGCCACAGGATGAGATTGATGCGATACGCGATGGAAGAATCCAAATTGTAACTGACAACATACCGTTTGGACGAGGATTCACTGCTTTGAACTCATTCTCGTACAGTGGAACTAATGTTCATGTGCTGATGAAAGGACATTATAAACCAAAGGTAAAATACTAAATAGGTGAAAGTCAATAGTTTGCTTATAGGAAGACGTGTTCTATCGTAGGTTATATCATCGTTCGACACTAAGTAAAAACAGTCGCCAAACGCTGGCATATTGTTAACAAAAACAGAAATTGAGATATGTTTTTTACGCACTTCCAAAGAGTATGAAAGTATTTTTTTTTGTATAATATCTGCATCATATGAGTTGTGTATTGAATTGTATAACTAATAATTTTTGACGTACATAATTATATGGCTACACATCAAGCTAATAAATATCAAAATACCAGTATAAGTTGACCGTTGAATATGCAGATAGATCATAAAAAGCGAAACTGTGATAAACTGGTTACACAATGATGTTTATATAGCCAGGCGTACTTCTGAGAAACCTTATTTGAACCAGTAATAATATTATTTTTAATAATATATAATCACACAATTCTGAATTTCGAATATTATTAAAGTAATACATATTGACGATATATTAAACGGTTGAATTTTATAATAATTAACAATTTTCGTTTTAGGATCTTGAACGTTACCGCAGCAGCATTCCACATCTAGTCCTCACATCGGGCAGACAAGATCAATGTGTGAAGAGTATGATCGAGAAACTTGTCAAGCACCCAATGGATCCCGAACAAATCGCTCTTCTTCATGAGATTCATAACAAGCCCATGGCTGGACATACCTGCCGCGGATACACCATTCTTGGTAAGCTGAAACTAGTTACTAAAAGCTACAAAAGTTTTAGCCACTTAATATACCCATTAGAAAGGAAATATTATGTCGCGACGATGAAATTTATGTATATTGTTTCAATTCATTTTCTTTCTCATCATCATCCATATCAAGCTCTGTATTGATGTTCGGCTCTACGAATCCAACTACTGCCAATTAAAATACCGGAACTTTAACAAAAACACGCTTTAATTTCGTATTTATTTCTACAGACACGAACGAGAAAAAAGAAACGGTGTGTGTTGCTAAGGAAGTAGAATACACAGATGGTGTAACGCGTCCAGTGTGGTTCGTTTACAGTGGTATGGGATCCCAATGGGCCACCATGGGTGCTGAGTTGATGCGTATCCCGATATTTGCTGCAGCTATTGAGAAGTAAGTTTCTTTCACATGAATAAAAAACTATGATTTGTGAACCGTGCCAACCTTTTTAATATTTGCTAAAAATTGCATTGCTAAAAAAACTATATGCCCTTGAGTTGGAGCCCAAGTAGAGAGCTTTGGGTTAATTCTATTAATCTAAACTCTTATAAGTCAATCTTATAGATTACAATATCGAGGTGTCTTTATTGAGGAAGTTACCTTAAGGACTATGTTCGACTTGGGAATTTAGAATAAGAACTTTGGTCAGCTATAATACAAATAGACAAAGTATTACAACCAATCTTTTTTTCTTCAGATGCCAAAAAGCACTAGAACCCAAGGGAATAGACATTGTGAATATTCTGACGAATCCGGACAAAACTATCTATGACAACATCTTACATTCCTTCGTCGGTATTGCTGCAGTACAAATTGGTCTGACTGATATACTGAGAGAGTTGGGAATAGTTCCTGATAATATCATTGGTAAGTTGAAAGAGATCTTATTGAGGGAGAAATTGCTTGTAATATTTTGAGTCTTATATGATGGGAGCTGTCTCCGTGACTACCGTTTTGGAGCCATTTTAAACACATATTCCTTGTCTTTCAAAATTTCTGTAGACAGGTACAAAAACCAATCTATTATTTTTTCTAACTTCTATATTATATTAAACTTTTTATTCTCCACAGGACACAGTGTTGGTGAACTAGGATGTGCCTACGCTGACGGATGCTTCACGGCTGAAGAAATGATCCTCTCTGCTTATAGCCGTGGGCTTGTGTCTTTACAGACTCCATTCATCCGTGGTTCCATGGCTGCTGTTGGATTGGGTTACAAAGCGGTAAGTACTACAAAGAGAATATTGATGCCAGAAAAATGATCATCATGAACTAATAACACGTCAAAAGATACGTTAACACGTCAAATTACAAAAGATACATTAACAGTGTTTCTCCTATTAGTATTTCCTATACGATCTCCACATACAATTAATATCCATTCTCAAAATAACAGTCACTTAAAGTATTCTTTATTTGTTCTAGATCAAGGCCCTTTGTCCTCCAGAAATTGAAGTGGCTTGCCACAACAGTTCTGACTCCTCTACCATATCAGGACCAGCTGATATTATGAAGACCTTCGTCGCAGAGCTGACATCTCGTGGTATCTTTGCCAAGGAAGTTCCTTGCTCCAACATTGCTTACCATTCGAGATATATTCAGGATGCTGGTAAGACATTAAAATAATACAATTTCATTTTAAAGCTTCTTTTCTTGATAGAAAACTTTTATCTGTAGTGCTCCAAAAATTAACTGAGATTAAGAAATTTATATGAATATACTTTCTAACCAACACCAGGTTCATAATAAAATAACTTATCATTTAACTAGGTCCTGGTCTACTCAAATATTTGAAGGAAGTAATCAAGAACCCAAAAGAACGCAGTAAAAAGTGGATGTCTACATCAGTACCTCAAAACCAGTGGAATGAACCTGCTGCCATGTACTCTTCTGCTGAATACCACACCAATAATTTATTGGTAAGATAGTTTACTTTGAGCAAAATTAAACTTTATCACTACAGAGTTAAAAAGGTATTTCAGAAGTGCTTTGTAATATCTAGGCTGATAAAATCGTAGCCATCAATTAGTAACTACAAACTACTTAGTATTCAGGAACATCGAAACTAGAATTTAATAAAGTTTATAGAGAAATAACAAATTATAGTTTAGTAGATTTTGGGCCTCAGGTTATTTGTGATATTAGTGCCTGAATAACTAAACTTAAGCCCCGTATTAAGGTCTACTTCTAAGTATAAAATAGTTCTTAATTTTTATGTTAATAACGTTTGTAACTTCTTTAAATGTCACTTTATAAACTTTCTCCAAAATATGTAATCATTAGTATATTTTAAGCGCTGCATTTCCAGTGTGGGTCTACAATATGATATGATGAGTGTAATATGATTTCCACAATGTCGGATACAATTAAAAACTTAACCTATATATTTTGCAAAATTACTCGAACATGCACTTGAAAGAAATGTCCCAACAATTTTAAATTCTCCAACAGAACGCAGTGCTCTTTGAAGAGACATCCAAGTTGATACCAGCGAATGCCATTGTGATTGAAGTAGCGCCTCACGGGCTATTACAAGCCATCCTCAAGCGTTCACTAGCAGAATGTACTCATATACCACTTACGAGACGCGGCCACGCCGATCCAGTTAAGTTCTTGCTGGAAGCCTTCGGAAAGTAAGTATCAGAGTAAAAGATAAATATGTTTTACAATGAAACTGTACAGTTTGTCCAGGCAAGCTTGTTGCAAAATGATGTATTTTTGCACTAATAAATCGTACATCACAAAATTAGGTTAAAAAAATAAGCTAAACTGTTATTTGTCTACTGTCGTACATTACAGTTCTAAAGATGACAATATGATACTAATTTCTTTTTATCAGTTTTGACGCTATAAATTGTACATTTCTTTCCCATTTAAGTTCAACTGTAAATACAATTCTTTTCGCATAATATACTAGCAATGAATTATATAACAATAGACTAAATTGTACTACATTTACGAGAATGCGTTTTAGCCATAAAACTCAGCTCGATTAGTTGCAACTGCTGGTGTCCAAATTGAGAAAACTGTTATTGAGTTTTATTAACCCAAATAATATAGAGTGGCAGATTATATTATTTTACATAAACAGTAAATTACTGATACCGCCCTATGCAGCGCGACAGTTTTTGCCTTACTGACTAAAAACGTAACTAGAACGTAATTTTTATGAAGTATGTGATACATAAGGTGGTCAAGTACTTGTGTAAAGGCGAAACAGAGCAAGAGCAAAGACTAACACTTGATTCTTTTGTTTCAGATTATACTTGGCAGGTCTTACGCCAAAAGTTAAGGCGCTCTACCCAAGAGTAGAATTCCCGGTTTCTACAGAAACTCCAATGTTATCGCATTTAGTTGAATGGGAACACAGTGAAAAATGGTAAGATTTTATCACATTTGCCGTCTCAAAACCTTCTAAGCTAGTACGAACTACAAAAGACACACATATCTGTGTTTGATTGGCAAATTGAGTTTAGAACTAGTTAGTTCGTGAACTATTATTATTATAACATCATAAGTTTGATCTATGATCAATGTTTGTATGATAATTGTGAATGAGTAAATTTCTTCAGAAAGTCATAACTCATAATATAATTTACTACTAAATTAACATGTGTTAATTTGTGAAACACCTAAAATTGTATTTTTTCAAATACCACCAGTATTTTCCTTCCATTCAATTTTCATTACGCACAAAATCAGTAGCCCATAACTTTATTTTAAAACCTTTATTATTTTAGGCCCCAAGCAAAATACAACGCGAAGGATAGAATCACAACATCGATCAGAAACTTCGTTTTCTCCATACACGACGATGACTATAAATACTTTGAAAATTATAAGAGAAATGGTAAGTAAATAAAATGGGTAAAATTCTAGTGTATTCTCAAACAACGAATCAAAAAGTACCAAAAGACTTTAACGTTTTTATTTTATTTGGTACTCCAAATTTGAAAGAATATTTTTTTCAGGAGTCTACGTATTCCCTGAAGCTGCCATACTAACTGTTGTATGGGAAACTCTCGCTATGTTCAAAGGTATCGATTACAGAACTATGCCTATTGAATTCCGTAACGTACATTTCAACGAGGAAATTCATTTCAAGGCCGATGACCCTCTGAAGCTTGATATCATGATTCATAAAGGAAACTTGTATTTCGAGGTACGCAAAGAAATAACTAACATTTTTATCTACAGCTTTATACTAAAACGCTTCAAATTATATGTATAAAACTAAAGGTGAAATTAGAAACTATGGTTTATCTTGAACACGTGGATGATAAAATCTTTCATGAACCAAATACTTAAATAATATCTGATTCAATTCCACATATTAAAATTTCATTATCACTTCGCAGGTCAACCACGACGAGACAGTTGTAGCCACTGGCTATTTAACTGATTTAACTGAGTCACAAAAAAAGGATAACTGCAATCGGGTACTGGAAAAGTCTCATGATGCAAAGAATGTAACTCTAAACATGCGAGATGTTTACCAAATTTTGCGCATGAGAGGATATTCTTATGAGTAAGTATAGTTTAGAAAAAAAAATTCTTAATAAATAACAAGATAGTGTTTAAAATAATGGCCATTTTATGAAAAACATTTCTTTTTACAGGGGTAAATTCCAATCGATCCACTCAGTCACATCTGACTGCACGACAGCAAACATTAAATACACCAATGAATGGATCCCACTACTTGAGTCTCTTTTGCAATTCATCGTATTTAAGAGAGATCATTCTGGTTTATCAACATTGACTCATATTAACAAATTGAGTATCAATACTGAGGAACATTTGAATACTGTGCCGAAAGATGTAGACGGTGTTCCATGTCTTACTGCTGAGTACTTTGACGTGCATAACATTGCTAGGTGAGACCGCATTTTTTGTGAATGTATTTTGATTAGGTTTAGATATTTTTAACAGACTGATAGGACTGAAATTGTGTAGACGGATAGATGAAAAGCAATCGGCACTGCCCATGAATACCCGCAACGCTAGAGGTAAGTGCGTTTCCGCTATTTTAGGAGTAAAAAGATTTGGCTTCCGGTATCCTCAATCACAGGGCGAAACACAAAGCAGTAATTTATTATTCCACGCCGGTTTTCTATGAAGCCGTGGTATAACTCCTTTTTGTTTGTTCCGTAATTACCGTAATTGATATTTATGTTAAATTGAACACAGCAGTACGGAAAAAGGGTTATAATAATATGAATTTAAGAATGAATAATTGCTCATTGAAATAATATTTTTGTAAATGACGTGATGTAATTTCGTTACAGATGTGGTGGTATCGAAATCGAAACTGCGTTGTTCACCGATAACCAGGTTACTGAGACTGACCCTGATCTTATACTTTCTCGCTGCTTCGTGCCTCACTTCCTTATAGGCAAAATTGATGTAAGTATATTTTCTTATATAATTCATTATTAGTAGTCCAGCAAAATAGAAGAAATTTATATTAAAATAATTATTTTTATATACAGCTAAAAGCAGCGATGCACGTGAACATGCAAATTGTAGCTGATAATATTCCAAGCCGCCAAATCAAAGTGATTGAACTGTACTCGACAGAATATTCAGAAATTTCGAAGATTTTGAGGGAAGTGACTGACGAAATTACTAATAAAGACTTTGTAATGAGTGGATTCAATAAAAACAAGATTGATGTATCGTCTGTTATTGTGGTGGATAATTTGTTAGAAGATGAACATGTAAGTGTAAACTATTATAATAAATTAAATTGTACTTTAAAACTTCGCCATTAGATTCAGTTTAGAATAACTTTTAAACATTTTTCATTACAGAAAATGGAAACCCTAGCAAGAGTGCTGCCAAAACCAACATTCATTTTGGCTATCGAAAAAGATACTGCTAAAATCTACTCCAAATATAAATCTTTCAATGTTGTATCGTCTTTTAACGTTAAAAACCAGATACTTGTGTTAGTGAACACTATTGATTCAAGCAACAATGAGAATATCACATACATGCCTATAACTAACGATAATAAGTTTACTTGGGTACCACGAGTGCGACATGAGCTGGAAAAGACCAGAAAACTTGTACTGGTTTCTGAAAGACAACCATACTCTGGACTTATCGGTAAGGATAACTTCTAATTTAAATATTTTATGACAATAAATTAATAAATGAGTATCATAGTTTTAGTTTTGAAGACAACATTAAAATGCGTGGGTAATAGAATCTAACTGAAATTTCGCAATAAATAAATTCACTAACAACAAATACTGTCTTAACTTTTAGGTATGGTCAAGAAATTGAGAGAAGAACATGGAAACAAGATTGCTCTTATCATAGTTGATGATTACCACGTCGAAAATTTCAACACCGAGGCAGCCATATTCAAAGATCAGATTGAAAAGAAACTGTCAATCAACATATTCAAAAAGGTACACAATAAAACACAATAGTTTTTTCATCAAATAACGTCACAAAAAGCCAGACAAGATATTGCTTTTTTTCTTCAAGTATCATAATAAAAATTACTTCAATATGAACGACGTCTTTCCTTCAAAATGTAATTGAAATATGTTTTCAGGGACATTGGGGAGGCTATTATAATATTCCAAGTCCCAAGGAGACAAATATTAGAAGTGTCGCCTTAACAAGTACGTCGGCTGGCGATCTCGATGCCTTAAAATGGGTGGAAGTACCTCAGTTGCCTGCCTGTAATACAATGGTTCAGGTAAAAATAATAATATTTGACTGATAATAATGTGATTGATACATGTTTTCTTCGTTGTATTTACAAATCATAACTTTTTATTATCCAGGTGAGTTATGTTGGACTTTCAAATGAAGATGCTCAAAATGCTGTTGGTACGTCCTTAGCACCAGCCAATGGCTTTGGAAAAGAGTTCAGTGGTATCAATATAAAGTAAGTATTTTTATTATAATTATTTAATTTTAATGAAATCGACATAGGATCGTTTAACAGAAGGGCAAATGTAAAATTAATATGATTCATTAATTCTAGTGGTGAACGAGTCATGGGATTGCTCCCCGAAGGTGCTTTAAGAAGTGTTGTGGAAGCTGACCCATCTCTATTGTGGCCAGTGCCAGAACATTGGAACTTGGAAGATGCTGCTACAGTACCTCTGGCTTATGTTAACGCATTTTATTGCCTTGTAAGTACAATTACATACTAGTTTTTGAAACGTTACTATCATGAGACATACAAAATTGCTTGCAAATGACTTACATGAATTAAATGAAAGAAAAACTGTACTACTTTCGAGTCACCGAGGGGCTTTTATTCTTAAGCCGTCGCTGCAAAGTGACGTAACTTGATACTAGTCGAGCTTTTCTCAGTTAATTCAAGTGAGTAAGTCGTTATTTTCGTATTTTTTTGTGAGATTGCAACCTTTGTTCTTATTTTTGTTAAGGATACCTCATTTACACTTCGCTTAAATATTTAATATTTAAAACAAAAATGCATAAATTGTCAACACAGCATATCATTTTCATAATTTTTCAACAGGAGTACGTTTTCAAAGTTACTAGCGTGGACGACAAATCTATATTTGTTAATGGTGCAGCGGAACCTTTCGGACAGGCAATCATATCTGTGGCTTCATTCTTTGGGTACAAAATCTATGCTAATGTTGAAGACAAACAGAAAAAAGAATTGTTGCTCAAACTATTCCCACAGTTAGAAGGTAATTTTATTTTTATACAATTGTTATTTAGGTTTAATTTTTATATTCATTTTTATTAATATCTCTTTTTTTGTAGAGGAAAACATCGTGTGTTCCCGTGTAGATGCCCACAGCACAGTCATTATGAATTCTAACGCAATTTGTTGTCCTATTGTCATTAATTGCGCCAGCGGTCCGCTTCGTCATGTAAGTTTCTTTTTTAATTAAAAATCCATTCGTATTCTCTCCAGGGAATAATGGTTGCTGCAAAATGTTTGAGAAATTTTATTTTTAAATATTTGATTTCAGTCTGCAATGAAATGTGTGTCTAAAATGGGTTTCATTCTGGATGCTTGTGATGAAGACATGAAGAATAACAAAGATTTTGGTCTCTTCTTTTTGTGCGGAGAAAGGAATTATAAGGGTATCAGAGTATCCAGCATATTCAAACCAGAATTTGCCGCAGAAAAGAAGGTATACAATTTATTGCGATTCTCTATCATTGAAGCAATTTTAGTCTAAAATATGTTCTATGTATACTACTGTTAAGCTCAAAGTAATTTTGCATAACAGAGCTAATTTAAAATTGTTTACTTATGCGATTCCTATTACAGTATCTTTTAAACTGAATTCATATTTCTTGTAGAAAATTCAATTGTTGATGGCTGATGGAATTCTGAAGGGTATAGTTAGACCTTTGAATCGCATCGTGTACTCTCCCTCGGAGGTCTCTCGAGCTTTCAGACTGATATCACTAAAGAGGTTCTGTGGCAATGTCCTCATAAGAATGAAAGACCCGAACATTACCAGCGAAGATTTATGCGTCACTCCAAGGTATGTCTGTGATGGTTATAGATTTACCTAAATCATGTACTTGTGTTGAAATGTACCTATTTAGAAAATTATTATTATGATTATGGTAGTTCTAGTGTCACTCAGAAAATACATTATAACTAGTAAAATTAGGTACTAATTAGTGATAATGTTTGTATTTTTTTCGGTACTTCGTTCGACTCAAATACAAAAAAGTTTATTCTGAAATTTAACCAAGTACTTAGCAAATTCATCGCAATGCGATTTTCTTGAGGCTTTTGTGTTAAAATCTGCTTTTTGTTCACAGACAAAGCTACTCTTCTGAAGGATCCTACATCGTAGTGTGTGATGAATCTGAGCTTGGTTTCGAAGTCGCTGATAGATTGGTCCGCCGTGGTGCTAGAAACCTGCTCTTAAATCTAAAGCCCAACTCTTCGGCTGGATATTGCTATACTAAATTAGCGTAAGTATCTTGTTACAAAGATTTTTTAAATTATTTAAAAAAAGAATCAGAATTTAAAATGTATACTCATCACCTACCGATAGGTGTTACAAGTTTTGAAACGGGTCGTAATGTTTTCCTTTTGTTTTATAGGTCTTGGAAAAAATTGGATGTGAATGTCAAGATGTCATCAGAAAACTTATCAACAGACAAGGAATGTGTAAATCTAATAAAAGAGGGAGCAAAAATGGCGCCTGTTTTCGGAATTTTCGTTATTCAAAATTACAAGACAGATGCTAAACAGGATGATTTGGAGACTGACACCATGGTGCAGAAGTTCAACAACACTGTTCGTGTTGTTGCAAACCTTGATGTTTCTTCTAGAAATCTCTGCAACAATTTGAAGTAAGTAAAACATAAGCCAAAATTTATATAGGAAAAATAGCCCCAAGTTTACATCTAGTTTATAAATTTTGTGGCTAGTACATAGTAGCAGGAATTACACGGAAACGAGCCTAAATTAATCGTATCACAAGTATACCTTATAATAAAGCTACAGGACTTGTACTTACCAACAAAAATATTTTCTCAGCATTCTATCCATCCCAGCACGTTTCAATATTTATACGTACATTTTTTTATAGTAACTAAAATACTTTCAAAGTTTCCTTACATCTAAATTGAATTTCTTAGAAGCAAAACACTACAAGCAAGGCTATTACCATTAAGTAAACTTATTCATATGTTATGAGCACTTAGAAAGCTAGACATTCAATTTAGAAAAGTAATGTAGGGACAAGTAACAAAACAACAACTCCTAATGTTGATGGACAGTTCATAAAATGTATAGTAAAGTTTAAATAGTTAAATTTTCAATATGGCTACCCGAATGTTGACCTTATGGACCTTGATGATTAGATGTATTTTGATGATATTACAAAGTATTGTTAGATAGAAAAATATTCCATCTGACAATAATTAGAACACAATAATGACAGAAGATAGAAGACAGAAACTGAAGATTATAGAGGCATAGATGCAAAATAAACCAAACTATTTTTTCCTGCAGGCATTTCGTGGTCTTAAACTATTCTTCAAAGAGTGCCAGTGACGAATACGCCGTTTCTGTGATTGAGAAAATATGCGAGGCGCGCAATGAAGCGTGCTTGCCCGCCCTCGCCTTCCGCATCGACTCGATCAATGAGGTATTCCTGTTCAAGTTATTTCAATATTTGCATTTCATTTGACGTAGTGTGAGAACCGTATCGGTGAAGGAAATTGGCATGGTGTGAATATTCCAATCTTATTGTGAATATGTTCGTTTTTTGGTGAAGACTATAATTGTCAATTAGATCGGCGCGTTGGTTCAGAATTGAATAATATAATATTGATCAAATGATGAAACTTGTGTCAGAGAAATTCAATTTCCCAGAAAACTTTAATGGTAGATAATTTCGATCCTAAAATGTTCCTACTAAATATAACCTCATTCTTTCAGTTTGATACCATTGGAGAAAATGGTACAAAAACACGATCGCAGAAACTGTCAACAGTTATGAACGCTCTGGAAACAAGTTTGAAACTAAATTACACGGATGTCGTGTCATTTGATTTGAAGAAAAGAAACAATTACGATTTCTTAGCCAAAGTCGCTAAAATTATTGGTGAGTTACATTTTTCATTTGGTTTTTTGCCAAAAAATTTGGTCATAGAAAACAAGACTACGTTTTGGATTACCCTTCCCTTTTTGATAATAGATTTTAATGATATTTTATACAATAAATCATTTTTATTTAAATCACCTTTAATACGATTGACATAAAATGTTTGTAGGTAATAATTAATATGGGGTCCAATGACCATTATTTGTTCTTGCAACACTCAGTGCAGCTGCTTCACTAACCTAATACAAAATATTTTAGTTCACAAGATTACTATTAAATTCAACTCTCTGCCCTTATAAACAGAAAAATCAATATATTGGAACGTTTATATCAATCAATCAATCAATTTATAATTTTACCTTGTCTCATTCTATCTACTCTGAAATTGGGTACAAGAAAATATATTTTTAATAAAGCTGTTTTTTTAGTAAACCGTCTTATCTAATAGTGCAGCTGTAGACAGTCGTGGGCTGATGATGATTATGATGATGATGATGATAATGATCACATCACATCATCAGCCTATAAGAGCACAATGCATGCACTGCTGAACAAAGACCTTTTCTTACACCGAGAAGGAATAAGTATTAATCACCACGCTTGTTGAAGGCAGAATGACGATTTAAAACTTTTAATTATATATTAGATTAAGTCGAAATTTCCTTACGATGTTTTCCTGCACCGTCTAAATAATCTTAGAAAGTTCACACAATGAAAAATGACAAATTCGCACTTGCCATGTTTTGAACATCTGGGGCACCCTACAACGATAATGGTAATGAAAATTATTCCTTTCGTGCAGGAGTGCAACACGTGGATGATATTGGAGACAAGCTGACTTTGGAACAGTTAAGCTTGAATGAAACCAACTTGCAAGAAATCAAGTTACTTATCAAGAACGTGTATGATATCGATTATTGTACTGAAACTTTGTCTAAACTAGATGTTGCAAGGTAAGATATTCATATTGTATTTTATACATACTTATTTTACTAGAAATCTCATAACTATAAAAGAAAATTGGTGGAAGTTTACAATAAAATGCAGTCTGCATTAAATGAAGATTGGCGAAAGTTGAAATAATGTCAAAGCCAAAAACAGTATTTAAACTATTTTATGTTTAAGGGTAGCAAACGAGCAGGTAGATTATCTAATAGTAAGCAATAAGTTAGTCATGTTATGTCATCCATGGACCGTGCACTCGCAAGACCAAAAGAGAACTTTTACATATTGGGCGAGGGAAAGCATTGTCTGCGATAACCGAAGAAGATAAACTTATTTTTAATTAATACAATTTGATTTATTTTGCAGTCTAAAGAGTTTTGGAAGTATTGAAAAGAGGCAGAACACTAAATTCGATGCTGGTTTAGGAGCATTCTATACTTACACTGATGATGATGAGTGTATGGCTACCGAGCCTATGATTCAAATGCCGACTAAGCTTAGCAGTGGTACCGAGGTTTGTACTATGGAATTTAATACACAAAAAATATTATAGTTTGAGATTTCCATATAGATCTGCTTACAGTAATACTTCGTACAAACAAAAATCCAACTACGCAGTTTTTAAAATTATGTGACTTAGGAGTTCTTGACTTGTTTGTTCATAGAAGCATCAAGTAAAGTCCTATTGATATCATTAATAAAACAAATTATACATAATTATTGAACACTACGTTTAGGTAAAAAATTCTATAAAATTTTTACATGTATGCGTGTTATAATTGAATTTTATTCCTATAGGAAGAGCAAGAACTTGATCCAAAGGAGACCTACTTGATCCTTATACCAGGATTTGAAGGTCACCACCAAATGTTCTACCGTGTCACTGAGAGGTTGAAGGTTAGAGCCATGACCTTCCAACTTGGACCTGATATGACTCAGGATAGCATTAAAAAAATGGCCGTCGATATACTAACGGTGAGTTTTAAACATATAGTATATAGGATAGATTTTACCCCTTTAACAAGACTTCTGTTGTTCCCCAAAATTTTGCATAGGCATTAGTGCGACTTTGCTTACGAAGACAATAACTAGTTGCACTTTACTAACAATTAAGATCTCTTTTTTCCGTGCAGTATCTTGTATGTTGAAAATTTTTAATAAAAATTGGTGGGTTCTTTCCCCTAAGCTCGACTATTGTTCTTGTAAACACTTGTACGTAAAGCAATCAGAATTCAAATCAGTTCATTCTGACTTTTATCTTTGCTATCCAAGCCGTAATACTAACAGTAGCACTTCAATTTAAAAGTTCAATTTATATTATTACAGACGCAATTAAAGAAATCGTTAACATAAGACAAAAGCGAACGGAAATTACAACTTCTATCACTACAATGTTACTTCTCCGATATCTATCGACGATTCCAATAAAAATAACAAACAATCCTTTCATTCTTGGAATCGTGCACGAAAATATTGCATTTACCCTCGTATAATATTTCCTAAAGAAAATCCAACGTCTCGATTTATCTACAATTTCCCGTACACTTATTAAGTATTGAACGTTTGTGACCTAGTATTGAGAGTCGTTCGTGCTTGCGCTACCACTACCATCGTTCCCTAAGAGTTGTCGTTCTCTTTTATTATAAAAGATTGAATTAATTCGATTGATATTTCCCAAGAAACAGTGATGTAGGAACTCGGTGGACTTACGGACACTGATTGGTGAATAAATTGTGGTTGATTTTGTTTTCTTTGTTCGCTCAGGGACCCCAATTTGTTAAGTTATTCATCAATTCGATAAATGTCCATTCGAATACTCTTAAAAAAAATCGACTTTACCCCGTAGCGTTTGTGAAAGAAAAACAGTTGGATTAATTGGTAGGTTTCGAAATATTGAATTGTTTATAAAGCCTTTTGCTTTAAGGTATTAATGGTATTGTTACTGTTGATTTGTTAATCAACATTACCTTTCTAGTGGTTCATTTAAATTGTAAAGTATAGCTTACGTTATTTATAGATAGTACAAGTGATATTTCTATATCTGATAGCGATGGAACTCATGATATCTAAGAAGACTACTCGTAAGAGCCTGCTTCAAACTAAATAGCTAGGTACTATCTGCCAGATAAATTTTAATATAGAATACAATCTCAAAAGCTTCATCTAGTTTTCTACATATAATTTTCACGTGTTAAAGTGCTTTCTTCTGGCCTGTTTACAAAAAGAAACTCACTTTGTCATTGAAATATGTTTGAATTTTGTTCCACACCGTGTTCCACACACATTTATTGGTAAACTATATGAAGGCAGAGAAATAGGCGTATATAATTCATATTGACACTTCGCTTTATTTTGTTTCTTACGTGGCCACGTGTCCATGCAGTTTTTATTCGCTTGATTTATATTTCAAGCATTTTCAATTACACCTATTCCAAAATCATAGTAAAACGTTTTAAAAGCTAATATGTGTTTTTGTTGGTGATTTTCAGTTCATGAAGAAGCGGTTCGAGCTTAAATCCAATTTCTATCTGATGGGATATTCCTTTGGTGTAAACGTCGCCCTGGAATTGGCAGCATTGTTTGAAAAAGAAGGTATGTATTCATAATTTTTATTTTATCAAGATCACGTTAGGTTTCTCTCTTAATAAGAGAATAGAGCGTCTAACTGACTACGTGACTAAATAGAAATTCCTTCCACCAATCTCAATCTACTTTTGCCGTTTCCTTAGAAAATTATATTAAAATTATTAAGACAACATTTAAGAAAAGGGACTCTTACAGATTGAATCCCTGGCGTCACATTATTTCAAAGTTTGACTTTTATGGAGCACATTTTAATTTCAAAAAAGATTCTTACTTATCTATAAAAACTCTAACTTCTTTTATCCAGAAACTTTTGGGTTTGCATCGTAATCTAATGTACATAGAGTTAAATATAGCTTGGCAGGTGTGTGAACTTTAAGAATAAAAATTTGATCTTTTTTTTCAGGTCGCGTGGGTACTGTGTATTGCTTGGACAGCAGCCCAGATGCATTAAGGGTTCAGCTGGATGCCTATGTTGGCAATTTAACTGATACAGAGTTACAGAACAAAATCGTCGAGCACATGTACCGGCTCATGACTGGAAGAGACAGCGAGGAACTGAAGAACGACTTGGAACGATCAGAAAACTGGTCGGAGAAGGTGGAAGCCTGCGTCAGTAGACTTCGGGAATTGGCTAGTTATTCCAATCAGTACAAGAGATCTATCCTAGAAACGGCGTACCGAAGAATCATGCTAGCGAGGCAGTACGAGCCAGAATTCAAACTGGAATCCCAATTGGTCCTTATGAGAGGCATTCCTCATCCAAAAGCAGGACCTCTGCCAGAAGACTACAACTTATCCAAGTACACAACGAAACCAGTAAAGGTGTTCAACATAGAGTCAGATCATGCCTCAGCACCCCTCGATTGCAGAGTATCAAATATCGTTAACAAGTTCCTCGATCCTGAATTGCTATCGAAATTCGAGAAGGAGGTTCTTTGCGAAACGTACTTGGTTGAATCATTCAAAATGTTGTAGACACATTTTTGAATGTTCATTGAAGTATAAATGCGTATCGGCAGTTACTAAGTTAGTTTAAGTACGGTCATCAATAATTATTATTAGTTACCTAATAAATTATATTACTTTTAACAAGCGTTTTTATTAATCCCTTTGGAACACCTTTTAGAAATTCTGAACATAAATCAGCCATGGATTGACATTGAATTAAAACTTTGGATTTTTAATGATTTATAAATTAAGGCTTGCGTACCTTAATGACTGTGTTATCGATTATGGATGAAAACAAAGCGATTATAAATTCAATTTTGTTCCTGAGAATCGATACTCATTTTAATTGGACGAGGAGTTAAGTATATAATTAGTTTAAGCCAAGTATTGCCAAAATAGATACACAATCCCTTTACTTGATGCTTTAAATTCCCGTCCAATTGTGTAAATTATCGTTTCCAGTTACAGTGTAAATACAAAACAATTGAAATTAAACATCTATTTGGAGCTTTTGGATTTCAATTTGAAAAGGAAACTAGATCAATATTTAATCTCCGTTTCCATATAACATGACGGAATCAATTATAATTATTAAAAGTATGATCAGATTTAAAAGGCTGTTTTCGAAATAAATGTTTACTTATACTAGGAAGTTACTAATTAGTAATGATTTTGTTCAGAAAAAATGCTAACCGTTAAAAGATTCTGACGTACGCATGTTCAAATAGATTTTAAGCACGTCATGTTAAAACCATTGCAATTTGATTTCTTTCACACTTAAAATGTCATTGATGCAATTTTTAGACGTATCCCTCCAAAATAAAAAAGAGCGTCATCGGCCCATGAAATAAAAAGTAATACAAAAAGATAAAATCTTACTTGATATTTCAAGAACCACTGAAGACCAATTTCTTGTCTCGAGAGGCATCTACGTTGCATTTTATTAAAAATCTCAATTTTCCTTGTAACGAAATGAATTTTTAAATGACCACGAAACCGCTGAAGCCACTTTGGGGAGTATTACCTTCATTTTAAGAAGAGAAATTTTGATGAAGAAGAAAAATATTGCAGTTACTCCCGTAATTTTTAAGATTAAACATGATTGATCTTATAATATGCAGTTTATATTTAATAAACTTAAAAACATTTTTGTTGATGTATTTATATTTTGTCACACATCATAAGCGTTAAAACATCTGGTTGAATATTATACTTTTTTTTTACAAATTTAGTCAAGAAGATATCGTAACCGAACGTAACTGAAACCAGGTCAGTTGGCAAGTATATTAATATTTTTGAAAACTTTCGAATTTCTAAGCCACGAGCTGTGATCTTAGCACAGATAATATCATAAAACTGAGGAACTTAAACAACTTTGCAGACTTATCTGTACGATTTAAGGGCACCCGCCAGATTTATTTACAACGAGAACCATTTTGCGTAGAAACTTCTACCGTATTTTCTTTTATTTACTTTTTTTTATTTGGATATTTTAGGATACGTTTTGGGTGTGTGAAATATGGAGTTGGTGTTTTATTCTTTGCAATATGGGCAGAAGTTTATACCATTTGAATTAAGGTTCATTTTTCTTTGGCAAACTTTTGATAGCAACGTGCTGGGGTCGTCAAAGATTGACGTCTATAATATTGAAATTTGCAGTAGCTAATCTCCAAACTGGTATCTAAATTAGACCTTTTTTAAAATAATATATTGTTCTTATGGCATAATACACAAAGAAAATACGCCAGTTTGTCTGTAATTTAGACCGGTAGTAACTAAGGCCGCGTTTAGAGACACGTGTGCGTCACATTTCGCGTTACTGCGCAACGCGTTTTGTCGTAGTTAGCAATCGTAGACACACATCTATGTACTTTATAAGTAGAGTATAGCAAAATTAATTTTCTATAAAAAGCAATATTAAAATAATCGAGAGAATAATAAAAACATATTTAAACATTAGTAAGTAATAAACATAATATTATTATTGTATAGCCACAAAAATAAATACGTATGTCTTGGATCGATGGATAGGTAAGGACCTTCCTGAAACACCACAAGAGTTACAAATCTGTTTTCGAAGTTTTTTGTGTTTTTTTTGTGTAATAGGTCGGCAAACGAGCAGACGGATTACCTGATGGTAAGCTATCAGCGCCGCCCATGGACACCCGCAATGGAGGAGTTACGAGTGCATTGCTGACCTTTTAGGGATTAGGATTTGGAGATTTAGGGATTGAGGAGGGATTGGGGGAGGGGAAGGATTGGGCCTCCGGTAACCTCACTCACGCGGCGAAACACAACGCTGTGGTTGTTTCACATCGGTTTTCTGTGAGGCCGTGGTATCACTTCGGTCGAGCCGACCCATTCGTGCCGAAGCATGGCTCTCCCACACTTAGTAAGTCGTTTAAACTCGGCCTCATCTTAAGGCAAACAGTATCACTTTGGTCAAGCCTGCCCATTCGTGCCAAAGCATGTTTTTTTTTCATGAGTCTTATGGTAGGACTAAAAAAAGTCATGCATATGCCTTAGCACAAAAAGTCTCAAAATTTAATTAAGAAAAATTAAGCATAGATGTTCTTCAACATATTTTTATTTGTAATTAAAAGATGTTTTACAGTTACAAGAGGGTTTAAAGTATGAGTAACTTCGGTTTATTAAATATGAAATAAACAACTTTATTTGAATATAAACAAGGTTTAAAGCTTAAATAATTGATGCGAAACAATTTATTATTTAGATTTCGTTTCAAGAGCTATCCATGTTGCAGCTGTAGCATGATAAAGAGTCGGTGTTTTTCATATTTTGTTTTTGAAAATGCTTTAGCATTGTGATTGTTATTGACTATCTGAAAATTGACTTTTGAACGTAATTAAATAATACAACCTATTGTATATTTTATAGCTTATTTATTTGTTAGAAATGTGTATTTAATAAGAAAACAATTTGTTATCTATACTAGTATTATAAAGAGGTAAAATTTGTAAGTTTGTATGTAGGGAATAATCTTTAGAACCGCTGGTCGGATTGCCAAAATTCTTTCACTGTTATATAGCTACAATGTTCCTGAGTGCTATAAGCTAAAAAACATCATGCTACGATTAAATGGAGCCGAGCAGCGGGTGAAACCGCGTGAGAGTAGCTAGTTATATATATTTATAGTAAAGTGATTGTAGAGTCAATCGAACGTGATTTAAACAAATGGAATTATACTTGTAAATCGTTTAAAAAACAAGCATGTACGTCAACATTACAAAAAAAAAAACCGATGCGATGGCCATAATACTGATTCCATTTACAAAAAAAAAACACATACTTTGTTTATAAAATAATATAGTATTTTGACAGTTTTATAAAAAATGGAATATTTAATATTGATATTTTTAATGCATATTATGTTTACAGTCAACTAAAGTAAATAACGTTGTAACAAAACATATAATATTTATGTATGCAAACAGCTTTTTAGTGTGCGTATCTAAAATAAACATTATGTTGTGCGTTCCGCGAAATTGTAAAAATTATCAAAATATTGCATTTTCCTCGTTATTTATTTTAAATAGACCAATGCAGACTATTTATAATTGTTATGTTTTCGGCTTACTCAAAACGCAATAATTTGACAAGACACTCGACTGGTTTCAAGTCATGCTAGAGGCCCATATTCATGAGCAGCATTCCGCGACACGCGACGCGGTGACTGTCGCGCTGCTACTGATACTTTATTCATTGAAAATGTTTTAAAACCAAAAAATATATAAACATTGAGTAAAACGCATTGGAAAAACAAGGGATTTTGAAAATTAATACTGAAAAATAAAACATTACGAGGGATCTCAAGTCGAAAAAAGCATGGCTGAGCACTTTAGAGACAGTAAAACAGTTCCAATCAACATAAAAAAAAATTACCCATATTATTTTTGTTCTCAGACTGAATATAATGTACGTGCTTTTTGAACAAACATCTCTTTGTTATAATATTTTCGTCAGAACATCTATAGAGGATTTGAATTTGAATTTTTAATTTTTATTTAGTTTATTTGGTACCTAAAAGAAAAAATCACATATTCATTAATGTTTAGGTAAAATAGAGGATAGATAATCTAAATATGTAACCCACACTATTATTTAGAGATCAACAAGTCAAAGTATTGTATATACCTACAAAATTATATTTTAAAAAAGAGTTAGAATAGAGAGAGAATAGTCAGCAAACTGATATTACAAATATGAAAACGATGAAATGTATTTTTTATTTATTTTAATATAATTATAGTATCTATCATTAGGATTATAGTATCCCACATACGTACACGAAGCGGTTTGCCTCCAGTTATATAATCCGAACCGCTAAGGGGTGGAATTCTTTGCTGAAGTCTGTTTTCCCCGAAGGGTATAGGGTATAGGGTATATATATATATATATATATATAGGTATATATATATATTGTCCGCTCTACGGCAAATGTTGATCAGGCCGAAATATGCATTAAATGTTGATCCACCTTTAGAAGCTTGTAGCTTAGATAATTTTGATAATATCGTGCCAAACTACGAATATAAGTATTCCCCTCATAGCAACCCAGTGCCTAACTACGCCGCAAACACTCTAGCTCGTCACCAACTCACACGGCAATTGTTGATTTTGTAACCGCCACTTATTTTACACTTTGTGTGACATTGTTGATCAATATAAACGTTGGGAGATCAACAAATGCCGCGGAAAGTACACCGATGCTGCGGAGCGGCAACATCGCAAACGAAACAAAAGATAGACGCTAGATGAGATTCCAATCCCAATCCCTAATTTGCGGATCGAGATTGATATTTGAATCCATTTCCTACTTTTAGTATTTCAATAACCGATCAATGAATCGCAATCCTGATCTTTTTTTTCAATCCATCTTTGGGAGGGCGGATTGGATTTTTAGTTTAGTATTTGTATGAAAGTGACAGTTTTGCGTATTCTATATCCAAACTCTAATTTTGACAAATCGATTTTTGAACATTATTGATCGTAATTTTCGATCCTCAACTTTTGACCGATTGCATGCGTAAACTTGTTATAAGACGTGAAAATGGAATTATTTTCAAGTGATAGTGATAGTTATCTTGAAGTATTAGC